GGGAGGACATGCAGATTGAGTTTTAATAATAGTTAAAATATGTGATTTGGTAAGTAAAAATATAGGTTATTTTTATTGTATTCGAAAAGTTGTTATTGTTATTCAATAGTACATGTCGTAGTGTGCCGGATTATCAATTTGTTATTTAAGAATATCTCATTTTGTTTTGAAAGGTTATTGAGAAAGATCTCTTATGTATCTTTTAGTAAGGTGATCTCACATATATGACGTTATTTCTAAATTCTTAGTTACGTATTATTTACGTGATTGAATTGAATCACCACCTGTCAAAGCAAGCACGAAAAAACGAAAAGAGAGTCGGACAAATTGATTCGGTTCTGAATGTGAGGGTGAAAAACCTAGCGTGAAGGGGTGATGGCGGGAGGTAAAGCGAAATTAAACTGTGGATGCCGGCCTATCAACCCCTTTTAAAAGTGGAGATCCAACACTTTAAAGCCCATAACAATATCTTTGAAATTCGATATGACCATCATAATTTATTGCGTGAGTCTGATTGAAAGATTTAGCATAATGACTGCTAATAATACTAGAGTACAATCTTCCTAAGCTCCGTTTCATATTAGGAAGGTGATCTCACATATTGTTAGGAAGGTGATCTCACATATTATTAGTTTCCTTTTATCATATTACTTCTCGTTGATTTAGCATAAAGTTACAGAAATGTTAACGCCCACACGTGTGGGCGTTGATCATCTTGATCATACGTATCCATCACCGTTCAGTAACTTCTGCATGAATCTTGGCACAAATTAGCTGATTTTGTATGCCACGTAGGACAACTCACGTGTGTGATGTGTAAGGGAGGTCGCCCACACATCCGTTTTACCACACGGAGGGGCCGGTGTATGGGTGTTTAGCAGTTTGCCCACACACCAATTTTCAGTCACGCACAAGGACTGGTGTGTGGGCGTTTGCCATCTCGCCTACACGCCCGCCTCCTCTCCCACACCCAAGCTGCCAGTTGCCATGCGTTTTGCAGTGTACATGGCAACTGCCCTAATGTGATTGCAAGCAGATGACAACTCTTTTTTTTTACCCGAACATGTCAGTTGCCATATGTTTTGCATGATACATGACAAACTACCCTAGCGTGCACGTAAGCAGATGGCAACTCTTTCTTTTTAAATGGAAACTGCCCTAGCGTGCTTGTAAGCACATGGCAACTCTCTCTTTTCCCCGAACATGTTTTTCGCCATGCCATTTCTTGTAGCGCTACATGGCAACTGCCTAATGTTAGTAGATGGCAACTCCTAAAGTTTTGAAATCATGGCAACTGTAGTAGACTAGACCACACATGGCAACAGCTGTAGTTGTCCAAAAAATGACAATCTGGAACTTTGACCTGAGATGGCAACTGAAGTTGAGCAAACATGGCAACTGTAGTTGTCTGACATGGCAACTGTAGTTCAGCGACATGGCAACTGCACTTAAACGAACATGGACGAGGGTCCGGCCCATGACAACTGTTGGGCGCGTGGTAAAAGTGTCACGTGGGACGTGCGGGACCACGAGGTACGAGGCCTGACGTACCGGACGTGTAGGCGTTATCTATTTCACCCATACGCACGCGTGTAAGAGGGACCGGAAGGGAAAAAAAGAGGCGTGTGGGCGCTAGTTGTTTTTCCCATACACAGACGTGTGGGCGTTATCTATTTCGCCCACACGCACGCGTGTAAGAGGGATCGGGAGGGAAAAAAGACGTGTGGGCGCTAGTTGTTTTGCCCACACACGGATATGTGGGCTGATCCTCTTAGACACCACACAGAACGTGTGGACAGATTTATTAACGCCCACACGTATGACAGTTATCGACGTCCTAAAGTTATACTAAATCAGCCATATCTAACATGTACGTGAGGGGTGTACAAGCCTCCAAGGTCGACCCATTCTAGTCGAAGCATTTTATTTTATTTTTGCACCTCTCTGGTCGAAGCATTTTGGGTGCCTGGTCGATCGAGGCTATAAATTGCACCCGAAGCTGGCCTTCTTCCAGGCACTGCACTCCTGGCTCCTTCGTACATCATCAGGCAAGCTCTGAAGCTCGGTAGGCAAGAAGAAACATCCGGAGACGCAGCCTGTCTCGAATCAAGAGGGTAAGATGGCATCGACATTGTCATTCCCCATCATCGACATGGGTCTGCTCCGCGGGGACGAGCGGCCGGCGGCGATGAACCTTCTGCACGATGCATGCGAGAACTGGGGCTTCTTCCAGGTGAATACACAGCAGTAACATGGCATGATCTGACAGGATGAATCTCCTTGTCGATCTATCCTTAATGCTGATCTGCTCTCTCTTTTTCCGGTGGTGCGTGCAGGTCCTGGACCACGGCATCTCGACGGAGCTGATGGACGAGGTGGAGAAGATGACCAAGGAGCACTACAAGAGGGTGCGGGAGCAGAGGTTCCTCGAGTTCGCGAGCAAGACGCTGGAGGACGGCGGCAAGGCGGCGGAGAACCTGGACTGGGAGAGCACCTTCTTCGTGCGCCACCTCCCGGAGCCCAACATCGCCGAGATACCCGACCTCGACGACGACTACAGGCGGGTGATGAAGCAGTTCGCGTCGGAGCTGGAGAGGCTGGCGGAGCGGCTGCTGGACCTGCTCTGCGAGAACCTCGGCCTGGAAAAGGGGTACCTCACGCGCGCGTTCCGTGGCTCCAAGGGCGCCCCCACCTTCGGCACCAAGGTCAGCAGCTACCCTCCCTGCCCGCGCCCGGACCTCGTCAAGGGCCTCCGCGCCCACACCGACGCCGGCGGCATCATCCTGCTCTTCCAGGACGACCGCGTCGGCGGGCTCCAGCTGCTCAGGGACGGCGAGTGGGTGGACGTGCCGCCCACGCGCCACTCCATCGTCGTCAACCTGGGCGACCAGCTGGAGGTGATCACCAACGGCAGGTACAAGAGCGTGCTCCACCGCGTGGTCGCGCAGACCGACGGCAACCGTATGTCCATCGCATCCTTCTACAACCCGGCCAGCGACGCGGTCATCTTCCCGGCGGCGGCGCTGGTGGAGGCGGAGGCGGCCGGCGGGGCGTACCCGAGGTTCGTGTTCGAGGACTACATGAAGCTGTACGTGCGCCACAAGTTCGAGGACAAGGAGCCCAGGTTCGAGGCCTTCAAGTCCATGGAGACCCACAGCTCCAATCTCATCGCTACTGCATAGAGGTATGAGAATAAGGCTTCAAAACTGTGTCAAGTCACACAGATGGATGAATAAAAGCTTCAAAACTGTGTCGAGTCACACAGATGAATCGCTAGTTGCCGTGGGGTCGGTCATGTGTTTGTTTGGTAGCTAATTTATGTTTCGTTTTATGATGACTACCTCTGTACCGAAATACTTGTAGTTGGGGTACAGAGGGAATATCATGCTGTTGTTTTTTTGGGGGAGATGTATCATGTTGTTTCTGATTGAATGACGTATCATGCTCAAAGACAACGAAGTCTCGGTTGAATGATGTCACCGGTTTCATCCGATGCGATTTTTCTCTGCCTGGAACGTTGTCCCTGGTTTTCTTTCTTGAGAACTTGACCCATCCACGGAGTCATCCAGTTGCCTGTGTTCTGTTTGTATTTTCTTTATTGGGCTGGACTGGGCCTTATTTGCTTCTCTACTTGTAATTTGACTACCATTCAGAGAAATTGAGTAATAATTTGTCTCAAAAAGAAAAAAAATAACAAATACTCCCTCCGTTCTTAAATATAAGTCTTTTTAGAGATTTCACCATGGACTACATACGGAGCAAAATGAGTTTATCTACAATTTAAAATATATCTATATACATCCGTATGTAGTTTGTAGTGGAATCTCTAAAATGACTTATATTTAGGAACGGAGGAAGAAAATTTTCAACTCATATTTGAAAAATGTCCATCGCATTTTTTAAATGTATTACTCATGTATTTGGAAAAATGTTTATAGCATATTTGGAAACTGCTCACCGCGCATTAAAAGAATGTTCGCTGCATATTTGTAGAAATGTTCATCTCATATTCATAAAAATGATAATTTTCTTCAAAAAAGCTATTTGTACAAAAAGGAAGAAACATGTCAAGAAACAATATTGAACAGGAGAAAAATACAAAAGAGACATAAAACAGGAAGAAAAAGAGAAATAAGTGAAAACAAAAAGAAGAAGAAGAAGAAAATCCTTTTAAGTTATCTCATGAATTTTATTTATATTATGTTTACATGATAGTATTTTCATTTTCCCATCTCCTATTTTGATTTCCTTGTCTTACTAAATATTGTATTGTTGCCTTCTCTTTGTACCTCCCTATTTCTGAAAAACCTTTGTCGACACTTTTTTGTGACATATACGAACAATTCTTTTGGTACAGAAGAAAATTTGTTCTAAAACACACACGCATTTTCTGAAAATATGAGTATTTTATTATATACATGAATGTTCTGAAATACATAATAGTTTTCTATAATGCGCGAACATATTTTATAGTCATGAATACTTGTTTGCAAATACAATGAAGTAATTCATTAGATGATAACTACTAGAAAAATATGTTTGTGTATGACAGTAAAGTAATTTTGTGATTTCCAGGGAACCTTTTCCGAAAGTACCATGATCAAGTTATCTAAATTTCTAAAATACATGAACAATTCCCGTAAACTTGGTGAATTAGTCTAGGAAATCGAGGAATTAATAAGCCATCCCAAATGTGCGAAACCAGTACCATACAAATTTATTGATCGCAAAGAACGCGAATCCTTTCGTTATTTATAAATATACAAGGCATCGTCGAATTAGCACATATACCCTCTGTTTCTAAAATGTAAGACGTTTTGACAGTTCTTCTTACATTCATGAACAAAGGTAGTACATCGTACCCCAACCCGATGTTCCGTCCAACATCTCACAGCACATATCAACAACTACGCCGGCTCGGAAGGGGATCCCTGATCGGCGGGTTTGGTTAAGGCTCGTCGTCGGCGGACAGGCAGATATTCTCCTGGCGAGTTCGCTCCTCAGTGCACGCCATGCTCAGCCTGCACGTCCGGCAAAGATTCTTGAGGATGTGCTATTTCGAAAAGACAACAGAGAAACTCGGCGAGGTTCGGTACCTTGAGGACGTGCGACCCGTGGCCGGCATCGTGGCCGTGGTGCTCGTGCAGCATCAGCCCGTGCTTCCTGATCTGCTCCCTGACGAACTTCTCGTAGATGAAGGAGGCGCCCCTGAACTGCGGCAGCACCAGCCACGCCACGAATAGCAGCTTCACCTCGTACCACAGCGGTATCCTGCGAGATCAACACAATTATCTTTTCTGCACGCGGAGCAAAATGTTCGCAGCTAGGATTCTACTAGGAAAGAGCATGAACAATTTTGATAGTACCCCTCTATGATTTTACCAGTAGAGGACTTGCTCGGCTGCCATTTCGAAGAGGGCGATGAAGGAGTAGATTATCCAGTAGGCCAGCCACTGGCCGTCGTCCAGCTTGGACGTGCTCTCCATCGCGCAGATCGACGCGTACCTGATGATCAAAACCAACAGCTCACACATACACCCACAGATCTTTACCAACGTTCCCAGTACAGAGCATATCATAGCCTAGCCACAGTTAACCGCCGCAGCAATGCAAGGTGCAACGATCGGCAGGAATGTCCACTCACAGCGGGTATATCAGGGTCAGGCTCGGCCTGCAGAGGAAAGAGAAGCGCCCATGATCCACCAGATTACAGCCAAATATAAGCGATGGAAACGGAAGGATTCAGGAGCCGTGAGCTCTGTCGTGCATGGGCGTACCCTGCAATGGCGTGGAGGTGGCAGATGAGCGCCCATGTGCTCTTCGCCATCCCGGCTCGGCAAGGAACTCACCGCGACCCTGATGAGAAATGTACAGCTCGTGATGGTGGGAGGGATTCAGTTGATGGGGCGGGGAGAAGCGCGAGCTCAGTTTTTAACGGTGCCGGGGAAGGGGATGGCATCGGGTGCCTAGCTTGGACGTGGAGTTCAAGGCTGGATCGGAGCCCTGGCCCGCCCCACCAGATCAACCGGGCTCGAATCGCGTTGCGTGGCTGCTTCCCTTCTTCCCATGGGAGGTTTGCTACGGTTGGCACGTGATGCGCTTTTTACCGAGGTAACAAGGCAGCCAGCCACACCTAGAGGCTGCGAAATGAACCAAGAATTCGAGACACACAAGGGAGAGAAATGTAGAATACTGTAGTGATGAAACGAAAAGCAGACCCGAGACCTTCTATTCCGCCGAAATCCAAAACAATTAGGTGTGCATTAAGGTCGTTCGCTGGGATATAGCCACGTACGCACTGGTTTCATCCAAAACGAGAGATATTTTGCGGGGTAAATCGAGAGCGAGGCGGCTGCCCAATCGCGTTGCACGCTGCGCGGCCAGCTGGAGGCCGGTGGTTGGTTCTACGCGTGCGATTTCAGTTAGTGCGGATGGGATCTCCCTCTGTCTCGTCCTTACGTGTGCGGGGGTTACCGGGCTTCCGTACGTGTGCGTGGCTTCGGTTCGCTGACCTGTGGGGCTTCTTTACGGTGGGCCGACGTTGTCATTGAGTGCGCCAGAATGCCCGTGTGTTCGTTGCGTTTGGCACGGGAGAGAAAACCGATCTGGCGTGGGTGGATGTGAGGAAGGACGATTGGGCTTACTGCTCGTGCGCCCGGCCCACTGGTCCTTCAGGTAGATTCGCTTTTGAGGCGGCCTTGCGATGTAGTGGACGCGGCTTACCTACGAATCACTATCTTGCGTGGCGTCTCCTCCTTCTTATATACGCGGGCCGCTCTCGTCCTTTGTTCCTCCTTCCGCCTCGCTCCGCCTGCCGCTGTACTACGCCTCCACATCGCTTCCGCCCGTCGCTGTACTTCGCCTCCACATCGCCATGAAGGTGGGCTGTTCTCCCTTGGATGAGTTTTCTTGATGTTCTTCTCTTCTCTTACCTATCACTGGTGCGCTTAGCGGTCATCGATGTTGTGTGTTCGCAGGTGGTCCTTCGCTGACCTGTTCATCCATCGCTCGTCTTGTTCGTCTCTCTGTTCTCCGGTCCTCGTCGTCGTCAAGGTACCGTTTCTGGTCTGCTTATGCGTGCTCATGGATGTGTGTGTGTGTTGATTTTTGATTTATGCGTCTGTCAGTTCGTTCATGCTCGTGAGGTGTTTTGTTCTTATGTCTCTTTGATTTTCCTTTCTTTCTTCTCTTGTATGAGATTTGAAGGAAGGTTGTTTGGTCGGTTCTTGTTTTGCTTTTTTGAGTTTTTAATTTGTGCCTCTGTCAGTTCGTTCAGGCTCATTAGGTGTTTGTTCTTGCTTGAATTTTCTTTTCTTTTTCCTCTTGTATGATTTTTGGAGCAAGGTTGGCCGGTCGGTTTTTCTTTTGCTTCTTTCAGATCTTGTAGAAATAATGATGCCAGTTTTACATGTGCTGCAATAGATAATGAGGCAGATAGATGACATGGCTGAAGCCAAAGTTATGTGTGGGTATGACATAACAGAAAATTGAAGGAAATATGTCCTAGAGACAATAATAAAGTTGTTATTTATATTTCCTTATATCATGATAAATGTTTATTATTCATGCTAGAATTGTATTAACCGGAAACTTAGTACATGTGTGAATACATAGACAAACAGAGTGTCACTAGGATGCCTCTACTTGACTAGCTCGTTGAATCAATGATGTTTATGTTTCCTGACCATATACATGAGTTGTCATTTGATTAACGGGATCACATCATTGGAGAATGATGTGATTGAATTGACCCATCCGTTAGCTTAGCACGATGATCGTTTAGTTTGTTGCTGTTGCTTTCTCCATAACTTATACACTATGAGATCATGCAACTCCCGAATACCGGAGGAACACTTAGTATGCTATCAAACATCACAACGTAACTGGATGATTATAAAGATGCTCTACAGGTGTCTCCGATGGTGTTTGTTGAGTTGGCATAGATCGAGATTAGGATTTGTCACTCCGAGTATCGGAGAGGTATCTCTGGGCCCTCTCAGTAATGCACATCACTATAAGCCTTGCAAGCAGTGTGACTAATGAGTTAGTTGCGGGATGATGCATTACGAAACGAGTAAAGACACTTGTCGATAACGAGATTGAACTATGTATTGAGATACCGACGATCGAATCTCGGGCAAGTAACATACCGATGACAAAGGGAACAACGTATATCATTATGCGGTTTGACCGATAAAGATCTTCGTAGAATATGTGGGAGCCAATATGAACATCCAGGTTCTGCTATTGGTTATTGACCGGAGACGTGTCTCGGTCATGTCTACATAGTTCTCGAACCTGTAGGGTCCGCACGCTTAACGTTTGGTGACGATCGGTATTATGAGTTTATGTGTTTTGATGTACCGAAGATAGTTCGGAGCCCCGGATGCGATCACGGACATGACGAGGAGTCTCGAAATGGTTGAGACATAAAGATTGATATATTGGATGACTATATTCGGACACTGGATGAGTTCCGGAGGTCACCGGATAATTATCGGAGTGCCGGGGGGTTATCGAAACCCCCGGGGGACTAATGGGCCAACATGGGCCTTAGTGGAGAGAGAGAGGGCCGGCCAAGGCAGGGCCGCGTGCCCCTCACCCTCTAGTACGAATTGGACTAGGGAAGGGGGCAGCGCCCCCCTTTCCTTCTCTTCTCTCCCTCTCCTTCCTTCCCCCTTCCTCCTCCTAGTTGGACTAGGAAAAGGGGAGTCCTACTCCTACTAGGAGGAGGACTCCTCCTCTCCTTGGCGCACCTCTAAGGGTCGGCTGGCCTCCCCCCTTGCTCCTTTATATACGGGGGCAGGGGGCACCCTAGAACACACAAGTTGATCATTGATCCCTTAGCCGTGTGCGGTGCCCCCCTCCACCATAACCCACCTCGGTCATATCTACGTAGTGCTTAGGCGAAGAAGCCCTACGACGGTAGCTTCATCATCACCGTCATCACGTCGTCGTGCTGACGAAGCTCTCCCTCGACACTCAGCTGGATCGAGAGTTCGTGGGACGTCACCGAGCCGAACGTGTGCAGATCGCGGAGGTGCCGTACTTTCGGTACTAGGATCGGTCGGATCGTGAAGACGTACGACTACATAAACCACGTTGTCATAACGCTTCCGCTTACGGTCTACGAGGGTACGTGGAAAACACTCTTTCCCTCTCGTTGCTATGCATCACCATGATAGATCTTGCATGTGCGTAGGATTTTTTTTGAAATTACTGTGTTCCCTAACAAAAATGATAGAAATCATTATATGGATAAGCAAAAAAATGCATACAAAGTAGCATAGAAGAGTGAAAACTCATTGTTGCTGAATATAGAGTGTGCTTATCATGATTTACTTCCTCACAGAACTAAGCAGTGTGGTTGACTTACATTATGGTATGCCTCCTCAGGGATTGGCATCATCGGTTCATAATCAAGTTTGACTCGTTATCTAATCTGCTGGGCATATCGACTCTGCGGCTAAGGTGCGCTTCCCACTCTTTTTAACTTGTTTCGGTTGATTGTGCTTGGATTGCGTCTGCTTATTCGTAGTTATTTTCGTTGCGCAATTTGTGATATTTGTGAAATGCCACATCTTTGATATGATCTCTTATAGCTAAGAAAAGGTAAAAAAACATCCTTTTGTCTTCCAACTCAACAATTATTTGACATTGCTAAAATATAACCATTTTATTTTCCTTAACTATATCTTGACTATATAGGTCAACACTGACTTGTTTTTGGCACACATGGTTCCCATTGCCTTGTTATGAAACAAGGAATAAGCAGATACCAAAATTTAGGGTCGATCGATGGGTACGAAACACATATGTCAATGAAGTAACTTTGGGGAACCATGAACTCAAAAATTTAGGAGCACTTGACAGCGAGACGGAGTTAACTGAAAGTGATCTACAAATAATCGTGTCATTCTCTTGTATGAGATCTGAAGCAAGGTTGTTGGGTCAGTTCTTGTTTTGCTTCTTTGAGATTTCGGTTTCTGCCTATGTTACTTTGTTGATGCTCATGAGGTGTTTCTTGTTATGTCTGCTTCAATTTTCTTTTATTTTTTCTGTTGTGTGATTTTCCAAGCAAGGTTGTTTGGTCGATTCTTGTTTTGCTTCTTTGAGGCGTTTCTTGTTATGTCTGCTTCAATTTTGTTTTCTTTTTTCTATTGTGCGATTTTCCAAGCAAGGTTGTTTGGTCGATTCTTGTTTTGCTTCTTTGAGCTTTCGGTTTCTGCCTCTGTGAATACGCTCATCAGGTGTTTCTGCCTCTGTGAATACGCTCATCAGGTGTTTCTTCTTATGTGTGCCAAGTTTGCTGTGCTAGATAGATGACATGCCTGCAGCACAAGTTATGTTGAAACCAAGTCTGCTGTGAATGATAAGCAAGGTTGTTCGGTCGGCTCTTGTTTTGCTTCTTTCAGATTTCGATTTGTGCCTCATGCTATCATTATCCCATCAGAGTAGGTACACATCAGAGGAGGTTCAATCATGTTATGATTATGGTTTCTATAATTTTATTATAGATGGATGCTTCTTTTTTCCTTGTTTGTTCTGTACAACAAAGTGCACTTTTGATTGATATTATTACATGTTATTAAAAGTGCAGATTGTAGTTTTGGTCACTCATGTAAAATTGAGGGAGTCATTAACAGTAGGTGGTAATTGAGGTCGTACAAGGATATCTTCAGTTCTTGATAAAGCATAGTGCCATCTGTCTTCCCCCCTTTTGTTCTGCCAGATCTGGTTCTCTTTATTTTCTCTACTTGTTCTTGTTGTGAGGTTCTTGATGAGTCTCATACAGATTGATATGGTGTACATTTTTGCAAGTGTGTG